AAACTGGTTCATATTTGAGTTTATATAAGTTAACCTTCTTTTAAAAACAGTCCAGACTTATATCAGAAATCTTTCAGTCGTCAATAATCACCAAATTTCTCAAAAAACGTAAAACTGTTTATCACGTTCTATCAAACAATGTTGGAGTGTGAAGTTAAAGCTTTTATCTCTCTCTGTGTTCTCTCTCTTAAACACAATGTGTTCCACATCCACAGTCAGGGAAGGAATAAATACAACAACATCCCATTATTACATTACTAGTTGTCCTTAACAAGCTTTTCTTTATATTGTGTTCACAGGAGCTCCAAAGCCGTACATCTGGATACTTAATGCCACAGAGTACAGAGCTCTGCTGCAGTGTGAAGTTCGAGCTGCTTCTCCTAAACCTAAAGTAGAGTGGAAGGACAGAGCTGGAAACATCCTTCCTGCTGAGGAGCCACAGGTCTCAGACAGAGGAGGACGTTACTACGTTACCCTCCTCACCACTGTGACCAAGACCGACCACTACCGCTGTGTAGTCACACAGGAGGAAATCCACCATCAGACTCATTCTGAGACCTACGTGTTCATCTATGGTGAGATTTCTTTCAAATCATTTTCATTGTTCATGAGTTTATTAGTTTGCAAATATTTTTAGACCCCTTTAATTGTTGTTGTGTGTAGTCTATGAGCAGTGTGCTGTACATGATCTGCAGTTACAGTTTGAGTGTTACATTAACTTTTTGTGATGTGTTTCAGAGAAACTGCGCAAGGAATCATCCAGCAAAGGATGGTTGTTGGGTGGTGGATTGGTTTTACTTGTTTTAACTGTTGCTGCAGTTCTGGCTTTGGTATGGTTCATCAAAAGACGTCGTATTAAAGGTAAGTTTATATAATGTATCAACATATCATAATGTGCAGACATCAACATAACAGATCCACTGAGACTATCGGGTCCAGAGACTTTGACAGTTTGTTTTTATCTTCTCAGAAATGAACCATTCTGTTGGTATTTACATGAGGCCTCTGGTTCTAATACTGATTGATTCATTAAACATAAAGATAACAGGGTTCCCGGATAGCTCACCTGTTAAAGCTGGTGCCCCATGTACCAAGGCTGGGTCCTTGCTGCAGCGGCCCAGGGTTCAAATCAGACCTGCAGCCCTTTGCTGCGTGTCATCCTGTCCTTATTTTAGTCTTGGAGTAAATATATTTAATGTAGAGTTTGTGGTTCAACATCAGCTTCAAGGTGAAGCTGGGTTCATATTTGTGCTTGTTTTATGTCGTCTGGTTTGTGACCAAAATACTGTATTTCCAGATGGTAGAACTTGTTTTATTTCTGCTTAAAGTTTATTCTGCTCTGAGGATTTCTCTCCGTTCATCAGCTGCTTTATCTGTTCTTACCAGAGGTTGGACTCCTAAACTACCAAGTGATCATTCTGATTGACAGCTCAGTGCTTCAAGTACTTCTTGCTTATTTATATGGCTGACATTAGTGGATTAAGTGATATTTGATATAACATTAAACCAGCAGCCATATTTATAATGAATGAATTTATTCATTTATTGATTTAAAAAGACCAAATATAGCAAAACTGAGCAAAACCATATTATTGAACTATTTTATGATCTTTTATAGTTTGAGAACATAAAGCTTAAAGTGAGTGATTAATTTAGATGGAGGTGAATAAAGTGTCGCTCTGTGATTCACAGCTGTGATTGGTCACAATGCTCATTGTTAACAGTAAAGTTTGAAGAGTCAAAGTGCTTCATTTGGCAGTACACTGAGTTTCACTGAGATGTTTATTATAGAATTATTATAGAATCACTTTAGGTCTACAACAATGATTAATGAAAATATGAAAAAATAATAACTGTTATTCATTTTCTTTGTTAAAATCACAGAGCACCGCTCACGAGAGAGACTGGAGAATGCTGAATACAAGAAGAAGAATTTGAGCCTGAGCAGTGAGTAAAGATTGGCGGTTGCATCAGGGCCAAAATAGGAATTAAAGAATGATTTATTTCTTTATATTGAAGGTTTAGGATGTTCAGTGTGTTTGGTGGTCGACCTCAGGGTAACATTGAACATTAGCTCTTTTAAAGAGATCCAACAATACTGCAGTGAAGAAGACCCATCGCAGGTTTTGCTGTTTTACTCTGAAACAAAAGAGTCATAGCGTGTAACACAGCAGCGTCTGCGTCCATCGGCTCCCCCATTTTAAACAGACATCAGTTCAGCTCATTTCTACGTCCACTACCGGATTAACAGCAGAACAACAATGCCCCCTCTTTAGTGTTTTATACAGAACGGTGAGGTGGAATAACAGAAACATTCTCACCTTGAACACACCGTATAAAAGAGACTGCTGAGAGTCATCTGTAAACTAATAATCTCATCTGTAAACTAATAATCTTATCTGTAAACTAATAATCTCATCATCTGTAAACTAATAATCTCATCATCTGTAAACTAATAATCTCATCATCTGTAAACTAATAATCTGTAAACTAATAATCTCATCTGTAAACTAATAAACTCATCTGTAAACTAATAATCTCATCATCTGTAAACTAATAATCTCTGAAAAATTATACAAACATTTAAATCTTTTTGGGAGGCAGCATGTGTCCAACATCAGAGAACTAAATTATGTTTCAACATTATCTTAGAAAAAAAAAAGAAAAGGCACCAGGTCAATTGGAAAATGTAAGAGTCAGTTTCGGTCTACAACAATGATTAATGAAAATGTTTTTAAAAAATATCTGTCATTCATTTTATTATCATTTTCTTTTGTTTAAAACCACAGAGCGCCACCAGAGAGAGGATGAAGAGTCTGTGAAGCTACAGATTGGTGAGTACAGACAGAGAGGCAGTTGTAGCAGGGCCAAAGTTACATCTTTTAATTTTTTTTTATCAGGAATTGGGGAAAAAGATAATCTGAGGATGAGGACAGGATGTTATTTGATGTTTATTTAGGTCTTGCAGTGAGTGAATATATTTAATGTAGAGTTTGTGGTTCAACATCAGCTTCAAGGTGAAGCTGGGTTCATATTTGTGCTTGTTTTATGTCGTCTGGTTTGTGAGCAAAATACTGTATTTCCAGATGGTAGAACTTGTTTTATTTCTGCTTAAAGTTTATTCTGCTCTGAGGATTTCTCTCCGTTCATCAGCTGCTTTATCTGTTCTTACCAGAGGTTGGACTCCTAAACTACCAAGTGATCATTCTGATTGACAGCTCAGTGCTTCAAGTACTTCTTGCTTATTTATATGGCTGACATTAGTGGATTAAGTGATATTTGATATAACATTAAACCAGCAGCCATATTTATAATGAATTAATGTATTAGTTTATTGATTTAAAAAGACCAAAGATTGCTAAACTGAGCAAAACCATATTATTGAACTATTTTATGATCTTTTATAGTTTGAGAACATAAAGCTTAAAGTGAGTGATTAATTTAGATGGAGGTGAATAAAGTGTTGCTCTGTGATTCACAGCTGTGATTGGTCACAATGCTCATTGTTAACAGTAAAGTTTGAAGAGTCAAAGTGCTTCATTTGGTAGTACAGTGAGTTTCACTGAGATGTTTATTATAGAATTATTATAGAATCACTTTAGGTCTACAACAATGATTAATGAAAATGTAAAAATAATAACTGTTATTTATTTTCATGTAATTTTTTTGTCAAAACCACAGACAACCACAGCGGAGAGACTGAGCTGCAGAACACTCTAAATGAGGAGGAGAGTTTCAGGCTAAGTGGTGAGTGTAGATTATATTTTGGATGCTGGCGTACACAGTCTGACCTTAGTTACTGGTAAGAAAAACTGCAGCTACTCCAGAGAATTATGTTTTCCTTCTTTATTAATTCCTCACATGAACAACATACAGGATGTGTCTTGTTGTGGTTTCCTGAATTATAGAAATAAATAAATAGCAAATATATTATTATGTTAACGAAATAAAACAATATGACTTTACAATGTCATACACAGCAAATAAACGTAAATATCGCCGGGTGCAGAGCCCGTCCGCAATATTAAACACACAAACAATATTATATGTCTAGAACATATATAAGGGAATTCGAACATATTAACCGGACTCTGGTAATGTACAAAACCTGTGTGTGCGTCAGTACTTTTACAACATAGCGGCTCACATAACAATAAACAGTGAATATAAACTTACTCTGCACTCACGCACAACGGACACAAGTTATTTGGCTCTGCTCAACGCTGTCCTAACAGAGAAGGAGGTGTGCAGCACTCGACAGGTCGGGACGGTTTTGACGTTCCTTCGGGACAACTCGGGTCCTTCCGGTTGCGATTGGTTCTTCCTGTACACAGCAGAGCAGGGAAGTTTGCACAGTGATTAAAGGGCCAATATAGGAATTAAAAAATGATTTATTTCTTTATATTGAAGGTTTAGGATGTTCAGTGTGTTTGGTGGTCGACCTCAGGGTAACATTGAACATTAGCTCTTTTTAAAGAGATCCAACAATACTGCAGTGAAGAAGACCCATCGCAGGTTTTGCTGTTTTACTCTGAAACAAAAGAGTCATAGCGTGTAACACAGCAGCGTCTGCGTCCATCGGCTCCCCCATTTTAAACAGACATCAGTTCAGCTCATTTCTACCTCCACTACCGGATTAACAGCAGAACAACAATGCCCCCTCTTTAGTGTTTTCTACAGAACGGTGAGGTGGAATAACAGAAACATTCTCACCTTGAACACACCGTATAAAAGAGGCTGCTGAGAGTCATCTGTAAACTAATAATCTCATCTGTAAACTAATAATCTCATCTGTAAACTAATAATCTCATCTGTAAACTAATAATCTCACCATCTGCAGACTAATAATCTCATCTGTAAACTAATAATCTCATCTGCAAACTAATAATCTCATCTGTAAACTAATAATCTCATCATCTGTAAACTAATAATCTCATCTGTAAACTAATAATCTCACCATCTGCAGACTAATAATCTCATCTGTAAACTAATAATCTCACCATCTGTAAACTAATAATCTCATCTGTAAACTAATAATCTCATCTGTAAACTAATAATCTCATCATCTGTAAACTAATAATCTCATCTGTAAACTAATACTCTCATAATCTGCAAACTAATAATCTCATCATCTGTAAACTAATAATCTCATCATATGTAAACTAATAATCTATGAAAAATGTTACAAACATTTAAATCCTTTTGGGAGGCAGCATCTGTCCAACATCAGAGAACTAAATTATGTTTATAACATTATCTTAGAAAAAAAAAGAAAAGGCACCAGGTCAATTGGTAAATGTAGAATCACTTACAGGTGAACAGTGATTAATGAAAATGGTAAAAACAAATAACCGTTATTTATTTCCATGTAATTGTTTTGACATAGAGCTCCAGCAGAGAGAGGATGAAGAGTCTGTGAAGCTACAGAACGGTGAGTACAGACAGAGAGAGGCAGTTGTATCAGGACCAATGTTACATATATTAATTTATTTTATCAGGAATTGGGGAAGAAGATAATCTGAGGATGAGGACAGGATGTTATCTGATGTTTATTTAGTTCTTGCAGTGACTGAATATATTTAATGTAGAGTTTGTGGTTCAACATCAGCTTCAAGGTGAAGCTGGGTTCATATTTGTGCTTTTTTATGTTGTCTGGTTTGTGACCAAAATACTGTATTTCCAGATGGTAGAACTTGTTTTATTTCTGCTTAAAGTTTATTCTGCTCTGAGGATTTCTCTCCGTTCATCAGCTGCTTTATCTGTTCTAAGCACTGAGTGAGGTGATGGAGTCCACACCCAATCTGTCTGTGAGGGACAACAAAATCTTTTCTGTGTAAAATGAAAGTTGACTTTATGTAATATATACTGTTCTTTTATTCTCTGCAGGTTCTCCTCTGCTGGGACAAGATCCAAACAGTTCTTCTAACGGTTCTTCAGAGTAAAAGAAGTTAGCTGTTTGATCCTCTGGTGGCTGCTGTCAGAACAACAGATCCCTCGTTTCAATTCATAATATTAGGTCCATATTGTATTTATTATTTTATAAGCACGTGAATATTTTATTGATTGTGTGAATATTTTTTTGTATTTTTTTGTGAAATGAATGTATTTTTACTGTTTATAAGAGTTTTATACTATTTTCATCATGGTGCAGAGCAAGAATCTTCTATACTCAATGATTGAGCATTAAATCTCATTAATGCTGTAATAATGTGCAATGAAGACCAGTCAGTATATATTTTATATTTTATTATAAGCTAGAGTTTTCCTTGTTTGTGCCTTGTTGTGTTGTTCACTGTAATGTGTGTGTTTAATATTTAAGTCTGTTTATTTGCACTGAAAGTTTCCTTGTTGATGAGATATTCTTCCAATCAGTGAGTTAATGTTGTTAAGTTGTCTTTTCTTCCTCATGTGGTTCTTTGTTATTGGAGCAGCTAGTTAGCTGCAGTTAGCATCTTCTGTGCTGCTTCAATGTGCCTTGTTGTTTGTTCACTAATATATTCTGACTGAATATGTATTATTGATGCTGACTGTCATTACAGATAGTGAGCATACACACTGTGTTATAGAAGATTGTTTGTGTTTGAAATAATAAAATATGATTGGACCAAACCAGCTGTGATGTCACAGAGTTTCCTTGTTGATTAAATATTCTTCCAATCAGTGAGTTAATGTTGTTAAGTTGTCTTTTCTTCCTCATGTGGTTCTTTGTTATTGGAGCAGCTAGTTAGCTGGTGACGTAGCGACAGCACACTGCTACAAACTCTACATCTGTCTACCATCACTTCCTGTTGCTACTGTGGACATTAAAGTGTCCTAAATAATAATGAGACATTACAATCATCATGTTTAAACTTTTGTCTCCAATCGTTTGAATAAAACAAACTTTCCTGATGGATGACGGGATGCTTTTATTTTGAAGGAAATCAGAGTGATTATTGATCTGCTGCAGCAGCTGTTTTTGATACTTAAGTCTTACTAAAGACTCTTTGAACACAAACCAACTGGATTTAACATTTACACTTTATTTAATAACCTGAATTAAGTAGATATTTGTGTGGACTGTGGTTGAGAATCACTTCCTTTGGTACTCGGATACTTTCAGAGCCGGTCCTAACCTTCCTGGGGCCCTCAGCCAAAGTCCTCAAAATGTCTGCATTCAAACTGGAACAGTGAATACTATTTATACTGCGGGTTGACTGAATACTTGGTTATTATTTACTGAGAGATCTGCATCCATATTGCTCAGGATGTCCAGCTAATCAACATTTAGATTCAATATTTAATCAATAGTCAATGTATCGCTTAAAACGATGTGTTCCTGATTACCATCATGTCCATATTAACAACAGACACATCCTCCTCCTCCTCTTCCTCTGCACTGTGGATTAATGTGGACATTAAAAGACACACATTATTGTTCCAGCAGTCTGTTTGTATATATGTGGAGGGAAAGAACTGAAGTATCAGTCGTTGTGAGACCAGAGTTACAAGAAGGGAGAAGAGTGTTTTATTATGAAAGTAGAACTTATTAACTGACTCATTAATCATTTACAACCATTGAAAAACAGATTCATAGACAATATAATCTATTGTAAAACTGGAGACGCTCTGAAAGCTGCAGTGGCATCAAACACTTTTAAACAGCGCGACTTCAGGTGGTAAATGGCACAATAACTGTGTGCCGATGTCCTTTCAGGTCCAAAACCTCCACTCACAACCCAAACTGTGGGATCACCTCTCTTCTGTTCATCCAGCAGCAGCAGTGTTGACGGATTGACCACCAGAACAAACCGCTGCGGACACAATCCACGAGAGGACTCTGCTGCTGATTGTTGGACAGGTTCAGAACAGTAAAAACAGCTGATGTCAAAGCGTCCAACACGTCTCATATTAGTACGATTAATGTCATTTACAGCATTAACGTCCATTTGTGGCCTCAGCGGCTGCTAAATACTGGCTGTTAACCCGTAATGACGACACCCAAGTAGGGTCAAAGGTCGAGTGTTCAGTGACGAGGTAATCACGCTGTGAAATAGAAACATTTGATTAATACAAAATATAACGTTCCCACCTGTTTGAAACCTTGTAGCAGCTGATAATAATGTCCCATATTAAACATGAATTTAAACTGTACTGGATCACCTTTACACTTTACTCCTTCAGGGAGGAAACACTGAATAATGATATTTAATAATAATGGAACAAGGTTACTATTGAAGACATCAGTGGATAATGTTACCACCACAGTTAGAGTAGCAACGATTGCATAACGTAATATCACTTATTACGATCTTATTCCCCGACATCATCAGCTGCTACAAACCTCCAACCAGAGCTGAACCCTCCAGAGAGCTCTGCAACCCTGGAGACCTGGACCTCCATCCACAGGCGTCTGCGTGGTGCTGCCACTTTACCAAACCATGAA